TCATGTTTCTAAAGTAGAATCACTTTGGGGATCTGGGTCCTGGTTTTTCATCTTTCCTTTGTGCTGTTGGTTTTATGTTCATAACTAGGAACTGTAAAAAAGATCCCGTGCGTTTCCTTCTAGGGTAGGGATTTGTGTTATTGTTTGGGACTGTAGCCTTTAGTATGGTAATCAGGTGAAAATGCATTTCAGAACATTTTGCAGAGCAACAAAACAAGTAAATGTAATAAGTAGTGTGCTGAATTACATTCACTGGCAAGGAGTTAAGTACCAATACACATTATTTTTAATAAAAATACATTACTGCTTACATTACTTTTAAAAGCTTTGTGTGTTTCAAACAGGCAAACATTACATAAAAGTGCTTGTAGTAACAAACCTATCCCTAGCCATAGATATGTAGCTAATGAAGTAAAGTTTAATAAAGTGATTTTGGATATACAAAATCTTTTGAGCTATAGAGAAATATATTGTCTTTACACTTATTAAAACCACAAGACAGTTCTACCTTTTAGGCGAGAATTTTTGACCTGTGATATCTCTGTGCCAGAGTTCCTTCAAACTGTAAGAGAGAATTCAGCCTGTTGGCCTTTGATCCTGATGGAGACAAGGTTCAATGCAGATATGGAGACACAGCAGCAGATGAGTGTAATCCTTGTACACCACCATCTCTTCTAACCATCACACCAGTAAGTTAAAAGCATTTTCATCTGTCTCAAGCTAAGTGTCACAAAGTTAGGACGTTATTATTCTTCTGAGGTCTAAATCATTATTTAATCTAATAAATAATGAATAACTCTACATCACAATAAAATACAGTAATAACTCTCATACACCCAAAGGTTACTCCCCCAAATATAGATTTGGGGTCATTGCTGAAACCTCAGCGGGTTGCCTCATGGTCATGCCACCTTCCAATTTCTGACAATTTCAAAGATGTCCTAAAAAACGATTTCAAAATAACTTCTTCTTATAAAACACAAATTCAGCTATATAAACATGTAACTGGTTTCTCTCTGTGTTTCCTTCTCCTGTAGTCTTGCAAACTGACCTTTCATTCTGCGAGTAGGAGTGATGAAGGTGCATATGCAATACAGCTGGAGATGGAGGACTTCCCCAAGCAGACCATCTTTCTCCATCAAAGTGATGATGTGGAGACAACAAGGACTCCCAGTGATGCTCTCAGCAAAATACCAATCAGATTTGGTCTAATAGGTAGGTCTTTAACTTTTAACCTCTTAACTATTTCACAGTCCTTCAGAGTCCTGGATGAAAACTCCTACAAATGCAGTTGTCTAGACCTGTGGATCATCTCATTCTTCTGCAATCATCTGACATCAGAAGAGTAATTAAATACTTACTGTGTAGATCTTGGATTTGCATTTCTGTACTACTTATGATTCTTGACTCAATTGCTTTGCATTTGGGTGCACAATAACCAGCTAACACAGCAATACATGACCCACACAAAGTTCCAACGTTGTTACATTTGAAGCACCTACAGCTACATTTACAGCTACTTGGCTATATTTTTGTTGTTGAAATAACTTTCAAAATCAGATCTCATTTGAAATCCTAGCTTGCCAAATTAAGTCACTAACTGATATGATCTTAACTTAATATGCCACCTTTTTGTTTTGCTCCAGTGG